GGCAGGAGAATTGCCTGAACCCAGGCTGGAGTGCAATGGCGCGATCTCGGCTCACCGCAACCTCCGCCTCCTGGGTTCAGGCAATTCTCCTGCCTCAGCCTCCTGAGTAGCTGGGATTACAGGCACGCGCCACCATGCCCAGCTAATTTTTTGTATTTTTAGTAGAGGTGGGGTTTCACCATATTGGCCAGGCTGGTCTTGAACTCCTGACCTCATGATCTTCCCGCCTGAGCCTTCCAAAGTGCTGGGATTACAGCTGTGAGCCACCCTGCTCAGCCTTGAAATCTCAACTTTTAACGACCCGTGGTCAGCAGTGGAGGTGCCCGGCGGTGCCCATGGCCTGTTGTCTGCACTGGCCCAAAATGAAAGATGATCTTTTGCCCGTGGGGCCAGGCTTGCCTGACCCTCTGTCCCCATTTCCCTTAGAGAAATCGTGGGCTCCTCAGTTCTTGTGGCGCCACTGGTGGGGGCCGACCTTGACCCCCCCCACCCCACTGTGAGCACGGTGGGTCCCCTCGCCAGGCAGACCACACTGTGAAGCCTTTTAGTGAGGAGAGAAAAGCCCCTTAAAAGTTGATAATCCGCAGACGTGCAGCTCGTGGTCTCAGAGGAAGGCGTTTCCCGTGCGCTCTGACGCCCTGGAGCTTCTCCCTGAGCTGATGCCCATGCCGGCCTGGTCGCTGATTACCAGCTGACGCCGAAGAGTGCTCTGGGTCTGAGGGAGCTGCTTTCCCTGTGTGGCGGGCGGGTGGGCAGGGCTCCGTGCTTCTTTGCCATTTTTCCAGGGCCTGGGGGGTGTCAGGCTGTCTGGGTTAGAGGGTGTAGGGGGTGGGCAGAGCCAGCAGCTACACCTGAGCCCCCCCTGGGGCAGCTCGTGGCTGTGGCCCAGGGTACCCCGGAGCCTTGGTGGGTGACCAGAGGGTGGGGTCCTCCTGGTTGTTTTCTGGAGTGGGTGTGGGGGCTGCAGCGTGGGTGCTGGGTATCCCTACCTGGGTGCCAGGCTCGGCTTGTTTTAAAGGCGCCTGGGGATGGGAACAAGGAGCCATGTCCTTCCTGCTCCTGGGGGTTAGGCCCAGCCTCCCAGGGCTGCCCATTTTCCTGCCTGTCGGGCAGAGTTGGAGGTGCAGCCTGCCCTGTTTGGAGTCACAGGGGAGCACATTGCCAGTGGGTGACACAGAACAGTCGGGTGCCCTGCCTGCGAGGTGGGGTCTGGTAGCCCTGGGCAGGGGTCTCCTTGGCCAAGGCACCTGCCCACCCCTCTGCCTGAAGCCTGGAGTGAGGGGTATGGGGTCTGCCTTTCCCGACCCATGCTGGATGCTGGTCACATCTCGGGCTCACCTGCGGGGTCCAGTGGGGCTGGTGCAGTGTGGGAACTTTGCCGTGCTCCCAGAGTTCTCCACGACCTTTGTGGACACAGGCCTGGGAGGCCTCACCACCTTCCCCAGGGGACACGGGCCAGGAGGCCTCACCACCTTCCCCAGGGGACAGGG